TAATAAATTTATTATTAAAGTAATATTTATTAATTATTATTTATTATTATGAATCTTTGATGAATATACTATTATATATAGTATTTATACTACTTTCCAATTTCGCCCTTTTTCTATACTTAACCTACAAGAAGCAACGTTGCCAAGTTTTGTGTTGCGTATCTTCTAATTGTCAAAATGCTGTGTTTTTTTAAGGGGAATAACTCATGAGAAAAAAATTTTTCGATTTTTTTTTGCTTTTTTACAATTCTCAATGTCTCTAGAGTACACATCAAAAATGTTATGACGAAATTTAGCTTCTATTAAAAGTTATGGTACAATTTATGTACATATGTTGAAAAAAATGTTACTGCATTTTTATGAAATTTAGTATCTTAACGTTTTCGGGGTCGCTGATTACGATCTAGTCTACATAATTTAATAGTCCTATACTTCCGGAAGAAAACGCACCAAAGTTAACTTAAAAATATTGATTTTGGTATAGATGATAATTTTTTTTGGATTTATATAATTTAGTCAAGATGTTAGTTGTTTTTGGTAAAAATACACATTTTATTTTTAAAATTCTTAATTAAATGAGCTTTCGCCCGTCAACGTCGGGCCTCATCAGATTTAAATACTGAAATTAAATTTACATTTTTTGAGTTTGTTATAAAAATAAAATTTAATTAAATTGATAAACATAACATAAGATAACATAAGTTATTAACAAAACAGAATACCACGTTAAAAATAGTTTCGATTTTATTAAACAAATTGAAAATAAAAAAATTACACCTAATTGTAGATTAATTTCATTAGAAGCAAAATTACTTTTTACTAATATTCCTAAATCATTGATATTAAAATGTGTAAAGTTAAAATGGCGTGAAATTAGACAACATACCAAACTTCCTGATAACGTCTTCTTGGATATCTTAGAGTTTTGTATTGACAATGCCTATTGTTCTTTTAACAGAGAATTTTATAAGCAGATTTTTGGAACACCTATGGGTTCACCTATGTCGGGCATCATAGCTGACCTTGTAATGGAAAAATTAGAATCAGATGTTTTAAAAAAATTAAGATTTCCATATTATTTTTATCGCCGATATGTTGATGATATTTTTGTCATTGTTGAGGAAAATAACATTAACAATTTACTTACTGCTTTTAACAAATATAATGAAAATATACAATTTACTATAGAAATTGAAAATAATCATTCTATTAATTTTCTTGATGTCACAATCATTAGAGAGAATGATTTTATGATCACCAACTGGTATCACAAGGATACCTTTTCTGGCAGATACGTTAATTTTAATTCAAACGTATCTGAAAAAGATAAGATATTTATAGTATACGGTCTGGTGGACAGAGCAGTTAGACTCTCTAATGTTAAATTTTATGAACAAAATTAAAATTTTGTTTTTAATACTCTTAAAGAAAACAATTATCCCTCATCTTTTTTATCAAAACATATAAATATTAGATTTGAAAAACTCTTCTCTACAATTGAACTTCAAAAAACACCGTTCGACACAAGTAATATTATTGCTTTACCTTTTGTAAATGAATTAAAATCTTTTTTTGAAAACATTTACAGAGACTATGATGTTAAAGTCGTTTTCTCTTATGAAAAAGATCCCTTTAAAGCTTTTTCAAAAAATAAAGATATTACAAATTTTCAATATAGTTATCACGTTGTTTATAATATTCCATGTCAATGTGGAGCCTGTTATATTGGTGAAACAAGTAATTACATTAAAGACAGAATCTATCAATATAAAAGAGACTGCAGACTTGATAACAGAAGTACTGCTTTGGTCATTCAGGCACATGACCAAGATCACAACTTCCAATTTGAAAATACTGAAATTATTTGCACAGAATTGAATCACAAAAAAGACTATTTAAAGAGATGTTTCACATTTTAAGAAATAGTAATTCAATTATTAAAAAAACTGACTTAACATCTTTAAATCAAATATACCACTCTCTTATTGTAAATACTAATTAATATTGGTTATAATATAATAATATGATGATAGTATAGTAGTATGGTATTTCAACATTGATTGTATTATAATTAATAATATAATTGATGTTAATGCTGCTATTATTGATGTTTAATTATTATTATTATTGATATTGTTATTTTAATTTAATTTTGATTCAAACGCACTAAAGTGATATAGTAGATCCCACAGTTATCAACTCATGTGAACATTATAGATTTTACATCATTAATCATACCCATAAATGATAAAGTAGGTTTTTAATTTTTTAACAAATTTAATTTCTTTTAAACTTATATTAGTATCCGTTGAAACACGTGTCTTGTAGAACAATATCGACACATAAACATCATACCACATAATTTAAATTATATTTGGTTTCACGGAAGCACTCCCTTTTTGGGAAAATTATTTTTCTAATAGAATTTTTTATTATTTTTTTATTTTAAATTATTAAATGAGAGTGGAATCCATATTGGTGAGTTTGAGGTTATGTTTATCAATTTAATTAAATATTATTTTTATAACAAACGCAAAAAATGTAAATTTAATTTCAGTATTTAAATCTGATGAGGCCCGACGTTGACGGGCGAAAGCTCATTTAATTAAGAATTTTAAAAATAAAATGTGGATTTTTACCAAAAACAACTAACATCTTGACTACAATATTGATTTTGTTTAAAGATATGAAGGATTTAACAATAAAGCAAAAAAAGCGTACTTAAACCACTACATTAGTACCTTAACTTTAAGATATTTTTTGGTTTTAAATGACTGGGGAGTGCGCTAGGTCTGCAACCGCAGGGCGCCTCAAAATTGAAGCGCCGACTATGACTATACAAAAATAAAAAAATTTTTTTTTTTTTAATACTACAAATTATACTTTTCAATACGCAAAAAGTCTTTTTAAATTTTATAATTAACTAAGCGAGAAAAAAATGTTGAATTTTGACATATTTTGCACACTTCTCAAGACTAATACCCCTTTAACAAAATAATTAATTTTGAGTTTCCTAGGTAAGGTCTGATCAATTTTTAGGGTTTCGTGGCCCAGGGCCGAAAGCCTTATAGTTTCACTTTGGTGTCCGTCCGTCGTACTCATATGGTTGCCATTGTAATAGATACCATAGTAACCGTCCGTCCATCCATCAGTCCGTCATACACTCGTTATGGTTGACATGGTAACCGTTTCCATGACAACTGTTTCCATAGCAACCGTTTCGATGACAACCATTACCATAGCAACCATAGCAATTTACAAATAATGTAATTATAAATTATTTATTATATAGGAGATTCCATGTAAGATTTCTGACGTGGAATCGCCCATATGAGGCATTTTACGTGTAATGTCCTGAGTTAAAAAATTGATTTCTCGAAAAAAAGTGAAACTTGGGGAAGTTGTTGTCCTACCTGATAGTAAAATATCCCCAAAAATTTTTTTGACTTTTTTGAAATTTTGGGGGAGATAGAGGGGGTCAATTTTATTAGTTTTCTCTGACACCGCCTACTATTTGAATTTTTTCTGTCTGTAAATGCAATAAAAAAACTTTTGGCAGGTATGTTTTTGAAGGTTTTTTCATGATCTTTCCAATGGTGAATTTCGTTTTTTAAAATTTTTGAATTTTGACCTTGATTTTCTATAATTAAACATAAATTTGCTATTTTCACTAAAATCGATGCGTTTTCTTTAAATAAATAATTGCAAACGAAAGCTGAGGTTTTTTCCGATCTGTATATAAAATTTCAGAATGCCGACTTTTTTTGTTTTCGAGATATTAAATGTCAAAAATTTTTTGTCCGCGCGCGCCAGTGTAAACAGCTACCGCGACGCGGTATGAGTCGACCGCCTCGCCGCGCGCGCGGACATAAAATCTTTGATATTTAATATCTAGAAAACAAAAAAAATCGGCATTGTGAAAATTATAAAAAAAACCTCAGCTTTCGTTTGCAATTATTTATTTAAAAAAAACGCATCGATTTTAGTGAAAATAGCAAATTTATGTTTAATTATAGAAAATCAAGGTCAAAATTCAAAAATTTTAAAAAACGAAATTCACTATTGGAAAGAGCATGAAAAAACCTTCAAAAAACATACCTGCCAAAATTTTTTTTATTGCATTTACAGACAGAAAAAATTCAAATAGTAGGCGGTGTCAGGGAAAACTAATAAAATTGAGCCCCCTCTATCTCCCCCAAAATTTCAAAAAAGTCAAAAATTTTTTTAGGGTTATTTTACTATGAGGTAGGACAACAACTTCCCCAAGTTTCACTTTTATTCGAGAAATCAATTTTTTAACTCAGGACATTACACGTAAAATGCCTCATATACAAATAACTTTTAATCTGAATTTAAAAAGCCACGAAACCATAGATGTAGGCGGTTTGCGCCTGCTTCTTTTCCTAATTTTTTGTAAGTAATTGAATATTAGTTATTTAACTTTAGGCATAAAAAGTCGCAGTAATATCTGTGTGTCAGATTTCTCGCAATTTGAAAATGAAGATCAAGAAAAAGCAATTTCACATGTAACACCGTGTTAAATGTGAAGAGAAAAAATTATTTATATCTTTTGTCACAATCAACCTAGACCTCCAAAAATTTAACTACATCTTTTTGAAACCAATATCTATCAGTATATCGAGTTTCAAAATTAACTGTTTGTTATTTCTGTTTGCGAGAGAACCTCCTTAAAACAATGTGAATTGATTTAAATATAACTGATCTTGTAAAATCTACTAGTATTCGAGTTAATTTTGTGTTTCATTTATCCCTGTGTAGGGCATTAGTACAACCACAACATTGGAACTTGAAACTTTCAACTTGGAGTCGTCAGTAGCTCGAAAGTAGGAGAACAGTCATTCCAGTACCATGGTTACGCTGAGGCCCTCGTGTATGAAAATTTTATTTATTTATTTTCTTGAAATAAAAATTAAAAAAGTGTATCAAATCATAAAAAAACTCATTAGAACAGTAATTTAAAGAAAATTATAAGATTTTACCTTTAAACCATCAATTTCCATAAATTTCTCGAACAGCGATGCATTTGTAATCAGACTTGCAATAATGAATAATGAAGCATGTATAAGAAATTTAACCATCGAATTGTCTTGATCCTGCTCAAAGTACTCTATTGCTCTCAAACAAGTTGTATAAAACACTTTAAAAAGTAAAGTCTCTTTTACATGGAAGCTTGAAGTAGGAGTAACTTTTAATAAATGTACGATAATAATTGAGCACAGTTTTGGTTCATTTGGTGTTAAAATCTCATTATAAAGCTCTAAAAACTTCCAATGATGACGCTTAAATTTGTTACACAAGTCGCAATTTTCCAGAGAAATAGAGTTTGCTTCAAGTTCCTTAAAAAGAACATGTTCTAAAAGTGTTGTGGATGGATTATAAGTTTGGCTGTTTGTTTTCTTCAAGAACCCTATGACATTGTAAATAAATGTAACTGGTGGAAAACAGCAACAAATTCCAGAATTTGTCATTACTCTCAAGAGTTTAATTTGAAAGTTTTTTTCAAATGTATGAGCTTCAGCCAGAAGAGAGATTAAAGTCTTCGAAAGGAAAGAAATGAAACATACCTAAAAAATTAATTACACTGTTAAATTTATAAATTACTACTGTCGTACCTATCTTGAAGAGGTTATTAAAGGAATGTTTGACAGCCACAAACACTTAAGGTTTTTGATTAAATATACACAGAAAAAAAGTACGTAAAATTTCAATTGACTGAGTGCTTGACTTTTCTTCGATAGCTCTAAAAATCCGTTAAATAACAGAAACCTGTCTTTAAAGAAATAAGAGTCTCACGCTTACGAAATAACCATGACTGTAACTTTAAGGTCAGGGCGCAATCAACTATTTTCTTACGTACTTTGTTTCCATGACAGTACTTTTTCTCATTATTTCGAGTAAATACTGTTTCTTAATAAAAAGCATATAAAATACTATCAAAATTTTTCCCTATCCAAAAGTCAAGCAATTTTTTTTATCAAGGTGTTTACGAGATATGAATTTTTTAAAATTTAAGAATTTTGATGATTTTTTATTTTTGAATGGTAATAATTTCCTTAAAATTGCATCAATTTTAAAAGTGTAACCTATTTTTTCCAATGTTTTTTTAATCATTGACTTTATATTGTACACTACGTTAGTCACTTTTGTTAGAGGTTATATGAAACTCAAAATTTTATAATTTATATTACATAATTCGGTTGAATTATATAACGTTTAAATTTATAGTTACGGAGTTAATTAAAACTAGAGGCAAGGAATATTTTTTGCATATTGATATATTTCTGTATTACAAACATTCTGAAAAATTTGTGGTGTTTTTTTGGAGATATCCCCGAGATTCGGAATGTTCGGCTCGCGCAATTACTAAATTAATAATTATTTTTCTTCATATTTATCAAATAATGAAAGAAATTTTCTTTCTGTTTATGATAGTCAATAAAGGTGTTTTATAGGTAATCAATAGAGATTTTCTAATTACTTTTTAATGAGCTAAACTTACCTGAGATTGTATTGAGTTATCAATAGATTCATTCCGAAATGGAGATCCAAATATGTCACTATAATGATGATGAGCGTTAGCATTTTCAGGCTTTTGACTTTCTTTATCAACATAATATAACTCTTGTCTAACTTTCTTTAAAGCATTTATTAATACTCCAATCATATCTATTATTTTTCCAGCTCTAATTTCAGATGCAGGTCGATCGCAATCCAGCAGCAACATTATTGTCTTTTCTATTAACTTTCCATTTAGAGTATCCGTAAATAATTGAAATAACTCTATAAAGTCTGTAAAGTTTTTCGTTAAATTTGCCTGATGTAGCTTATCATGTAAAAAAGATATAACCCCATAAACTAATGCGAAAATAAATTCTCGTAAATACGACCTTTCTTCAGGTGTTGCATCTGAAAATGAATTTCTGCAAGTGTCTTCTAGAATCCTTAAAGTCATAGGCAATAATCCACTGTTAATCATAGCAGTCATAAGGACTTGACTTTTTAAAATTCTTTGTAAAAACGTTAATATAAGTCTTGACGTTGCAGCTTTTAATCTGCCACACTCTAAATTTGTCAAATTCGCATCAGTCTTAAATTGAAGACCCCAAAGGATATCCAAAGCAAATTCAAGTATTTGTTTTAAAGAAGTATTTTCAGTGGGAAATTCATAGTCCCGTAAGTCTTCAAGAAGCTGAAGAATCAAAAGACTTGTATCAAAATGGCTGACTCTGGAATCAAAAACAGCTTTCACTTGTTCATTCATAAAATCTTGAAAAGTTTCATTCCTAGATGTTCGAAATGAAACAATATCATGAGTATAATTTAATTTGCATTCTCGATTACTTTCGCTAAAAAAAATACACGTTAAGTTACTATAATCCATTGTTTTGAGTTGAAAATTCAGGGCTAACGATTTTTTCTGCCTGTTGCCATCAGACAATTCTTCTGACTCACTGATGACCGCTTTATGAGTATCTCTTGTAACGTAGAGGCGCTTTCTTATTTGATTTTGTTTTACAGTGCTACTATCGTACTTTTTCATTCGCTTTCTTCTGGAAAGATTACTGTTCAAAATATGCTTAATTTTGGTATTCTTTTTTATAACGTGACAAAAAAAATTAATTGAATCAATCTCATTATTGCAACGAAACTTTACATAAGGATTAGGTGAAATAAAATCAGTTGTGTTTTGAAAAGTAACTGGATACAGTGCAAGAAGCAAAGCCATCAATTCTTGACCGCATGATATGCCTCGAATGCCAAGCAAGTTGAGAACTGTAAGACATTTCCAGCCACGGTTATGAACGAGATATTTTCGTAGAACTAATAATTCATTCTCGTTTCCTCCAGAAGTACATATTGAGTGCACGTCTGACAGTAATTCGCAAGCAATCAGCGTAGAAACTCCATTTACTCCAATAGAACTATAAGAAGAAAGTATGTTGGTCAGATCAGGTTGTAATTTGCATATAGTTTAGCCATATGGGTGAGTACTTTAACTACGGAGTATTGGGAACAGTTGTCTAGTGACAATCTAGTGACTTTTACCCGAACTCTCTTTTCATTTTGTTTGTTTTTATTTTTTTTATCGTGTTAAATGAAAAGAGACGAAGAAAGAAAATGGAGGAAGAGATCGGTCTCTCACTAGATGGCGTATTGCCATCTGACTACACCGGCTGTTTTTGGCGTCCGTCCTGGCACAGGTGTCTGGAAGGAAAAAAATGTTCATTTACGATGCCAAGAAAAATCATTGTTACCCGGTGGTTCCTTAGCACCCCTTGAAACTAAAAAAATTAACCCGAAAATCGTAGCTGTACATTTAGAGAAAAAAAATTTGAAATTTTTCTAAAAAATTGTATTTTAAGGGTCAGAAATAAGTTTTAAATTTACTTAATGATTTTTATTTATGTGAATGTGTTTGTAGGACCTTATTTTCTAGATACAAGCGATTAAAAAATTTTTTAATAAAAAAACTAGAATTCGTAAGTTTTCTTTTATATAGGTGACGATTTTGGATAATTTAATTAACAGTGAATTTTGATTTTTTGAAAAGTTAAAAATGTGTATTTTCATTACAAAAAATATTGGAATTTTCTTTTTTTGTTATTTTCGAGATATTAATTAATGAATTATTTAATGTTAATAAAAAATGCAATATTTTATAAACAAATAATGTTATCGTAATTCTGAAGTTACCAACTGAAAGCTGACGTAATTTCGCATCCAACGAGACATTTTCATAAACAATTCCAATGTTATGCGATTATTTATTAACAATCCACTAATCCAAAATTCTTCATATATGGCTCGTTGGATGCGGAATTACGGTAGCATTCAATTGGTAACGTCAGAATTACGATAACTTTATTTGTATATAAAATATTTCATCTTTTGTTAACGTTAAATAATTAAATAATTAATATTTCGAAAATAACAAACAAGGACATCTCAATATTTTTTGTAATAAAAATACAAATTTTTAACTTCTAAAAAAAATCAAAATTCACTGTTTAAATTTTTCAAAAAATCCAACTCCTTCCCTCTCCTACAGGCAGTTTTTGAAAAAACCTAAAAACATTTCGTGGTGGAATTTCGCCCAATAAATATAAATTCATTAATACGATTCATTTATTTACTTATTAAATCATCCCAAAACGTCACCTATATAAAAGAAAAGTTACGAATTTGAGTTCTTTTTTATTAAAAAAATTTTTAATCACTTGTACCTAGAAAATGAGATCCTACAAACACACTCACACAAATAAAAATCATTAAAATAATTTAAAACTTTCTTCTGATCCTTAAAAAACAAGTTTTTTGAAAAAATTTCAAAATCACCCTTAGAAAGGGGTGAAACTTTTCTAAATGAACAGCTATGATTTTCGGTTTAATTTTTCTCGTTTCGGAGGGTACTTAGGAACCACCAGGTAACAATGATTTTTCTTGGCATCGTACACGGAGAGAAAAAGCATGCGTTTTTAGTATGAAAGTGGTTCATACTAGGATAGTATGAACCGTTCCTACGCTTAATGTAAGAATTCATGCGTTTCTAGTATGAGAGTATTGCATAGTTTAACTGTATGCCGTACATAGTCCAGTTGTATGAGCTTCATACTCTCTCGGTATGATAGCTATACAACTGACGATTAAGCCACGCCTTCTTTCAGCTTGCTTATTTCCTATCGAGAGAGTATCTTGTGAATTTGTTCCTGATCCCCGCATAATTTATTATTATAAATTATTGTTATAATAATAATTATTATTATTATAAATTTGTGAAAATATATTATTTGGTGAAGTGACAAATTAAAAAAATAAAGAGGTGTTTCCTGCTACATTTACATTTTACATTTATTAATAATTTTTTATAATTTCATAAATATTAATAACAATACATAACATATTCATCTTAACTTCATCTTTGAAATATAATAAAAAATTATTTAAATAAATCAAAACTGAGCAAAGAATTGAAAGCGGGCAGGTGATTCAGAAATATGCAAACTGAAAGTGGGCGTGGCTTAATAGTCTGTTCTATGAGTATCACACCGAGAGAGTATGAAGCTCATACAATCGTAGTATGTTTGTATTACATACGTTTGGCGTATGGACTTCTTACTGCGAAACTATGAATGTCATACAGTATTCGCATGAGAAAGTTTCATACATTAAACGTATGCCTCTTCATACTAAAAACGCATGGTTTTTCTCTCCGTGTAGGCAAACTTTTTTTTCTTTCCAGGCATCTGTGCTGGGTTAACACTGAGTTAATTATGATTGGTAGATCTAACAGAATGTTATTAATGATTGGACCATCGCTAACTCTGGGTTAACACAGGGCGAACGCCGAAAACACCTACCGAAAGCCAACCAGGAGCATTAAATTTTATGCTCAGACGTATTAAAGGAGTATAGATTACACGGAAAAAATTAATTCCGTATATTTTACAAAACCATGTTAAATCTGCGCTAAAAGTGTACCACTTTTCGGTACCAGCTAAACCTAAAAAAACGGAATGGAACACTAGCGCCACTGATTGTGTCAAACTCAGCTGGGCAGTCAGTCATTGTAAAAGTTTTAAAAATAAGGAGCAATTTATTTTTGGGTTATGTTCAACGTACTTCCAATTTTTGCCACTGTTTACATACTTCACACGAGAGCGCTTGTGTTCCATTCCGTATTTTCATGACACTAAGTGGGTACCAAAATTTGGTCCACTTTGAATGTACGTCGTTCGGTCTCCTTATACTACTCCATGTCTTTACGAAACTGAGTTTTGTAAAATGTGATAGATGTTTTCAGATTAACTACAGAAATTTCGTTGTTTATACTGAATATTTCGTGAAATTTTACAACACTCAGTTTCGTAAAGAGCTGTATCCTCTAGTCCGTGATAGTTCTGTAAAATCTACTGAATTAATTTTTTCCGTGTATATTCGCGACTGCGCAGAATGTTTGAGTACATCTGCAAACATAATTGTGATAGGGACAAATAAGAAAAGTTAGCTTTGCAAAGGTGAACACGTGGTCGTCACTATCGCAACCATGGTCGCAGATGTAAACAAACATTAATGCTTCTGGTTGGCTCTCAGTGTAGCCAAGCTCTAAATATAATTAAACATTATCTGGTCTATTTGAATTATGATGTGATACGCATTTTACATGATATATGCTGTGTGGCTAAGTAAGCTGCGGGTATATTTTGCTTATTTGATCTGTTCGTTTAAAAATATGGTAATTGCTTTAGGAGGATTCCATGACAGGAACACACTTTGTACAGCGTGGTCTTCGGATATGGTTGTAAATTTTTTTGGTGGCTTTTATCATGCAAAATACTTGACCAACCAAAATTTTAAGTCCCTATCTCATAAACAAGTCCCGCAATCGTAAATTTAGGAAAAAATGTATTTTTTTAAATCAAAGTCGAAAAATCAATTTTTGTTCTAAAAACCGTGGATTTTGTTGAAAAAAATATTATAAATATGCAAATCGATAAAAAGTTTTCTAAAGAATCGAATGACGTTTGAATTTTTAAGTTATCTCTTAATGCATGCGCAATAAATTTAAAAAACTGGTTTTTCTTTAAAAGTCCATATCTTAAAAACACTTATCGCGATTCAGCTCAAATTTTCAGAAAAGATAGTTGAAAGTCCATACTTTAAAATGGTCATACGCATGCGCCGCTATAGAGAAAAAATCTGAAGCAAAACTAGAAATCCTCGGAAAATTTCCGATCGACTAGATATTTTGACATTTTATTTTATCATATTTAACAACTTTTAATAGGAAAATACTGTCATTATCCAAAATATCAAATGTACAAAGATGTAAGTACCACATCTTAGTGACTTTTTTTAAATAATTTTTTTTTATTATAAAATTAATTTTATTTACTTCAAACTTTTTATACCAGAAAGAAGGGGTTTTGAACTATTAAAAAAAATAAATTTTTATTCTTTTTTATTATGCATTATCTTGCTGTCATGGCCGCCTGAAAATACCCCTACTTGTGATTGGCGGACACGATATCTCCAATTCAGGTCATATAAAAATAAAATTTTTGATATTTTCTTGAAAAGTAAGCTCGTCGCTATCGTCGGAACTACAATCAACCATTTTCGATGAAAAAAAACAAAATGGCGGACTTTTTTCATTTTTGACCTTCTTTTTAGGGTTCCGTACCCGAAGGGGGAACCCTATTAATGAGACTAGTGAAGCAAGGCATGTACGGGGCATTCTGCCTCATTTAGAGGCTGCCCCAAACTGATAGAAATAAAAGAGAAACGCGCATTGATATTTAAATTTGAACAAAAAATTAAAGATCAAAAAAACAAGTTTTTAAATAATATTATCGAGGAAAATGTCACTTTTGCGGAAGTAGTCGGGAGGGAAAAGGCTTTTTTAGCCCTGTCTAACCTTTAAAGTGCATGGGGGGTGTTTGACACCCAGCCCAATTTTCGGACTCTCGAAAACATTACTTAATTCGAAAAAATCGGATATGTGACGCCATCTACATTTTGTTAAAAGCCCTAACTGCAAGCAAAGTAGGTTACTATATTTTGGCGAGCGCCAGTATATCGGTAGCAGCTGCTTGAAGTGGACGTTTAGAAATTCGCGGGTGCCCAACACCCACCGTGCACGTTGTGGGTGTAAAGTGTTTTTGGAAAATTTTTTTTTCGTCGTTAGTGAAACTAATTCGTGTTCTTTTAACGTAAGTACATCTCTAAAAGTGAGAAAAAATTTTATTTTCATTATTTAACACTACCTTGCACTGCAGATGGCTTACAACCTACGAACACGCTTGTTGCGTGAATCGTTACTCTACACGTTGTACGAGGAAGAAAATTTTGGAGGGAAGAAAGGTGACGACGAAGAAGTTACTTCTGATTTGGAGCATTCAGATGACGGAGATGGGGAACATGA